GGCTGGTCTTTACTATTTATTTTATCCAGGAAGAGCGCACACCAACTGCAGATGCTTCCTTAGCCTGACGAAGGTATTTATACCCGAAAGCTTGCAAAGAAGAATTTTTCCAACTAGTTGAAGAATTTTGCCAAATATAAAAGATATCAGATTTACCCAAAGAACCTTGTCTGCCTATGTTAGACCAACAACTTATTCTCTTGAAAGAAGATGTGCTTTGCCCCACTGAACAGTTGCTGCCTCAGGGTTACAAATTTGCTGTCATTAACGAGTTTGCTGATAACTGTAGGTGCTTTTTACATTTAATATAGCAATTAAATGTACTTGGAGATTAGGGGAAAATGGTACAGCTCATTATAGTTTCTCCAGAAGATGGCAGCAAAGCACTGGCTGAGCAGCAAGGGGTTGTCTCGTTTTTTTTGTTGTGTTTTTTTTGTTTTTGTTTAAATGATCTGGCTATTTAATTGAGTAGAAAATTGGTATCATTGGCCCAGTAAAAAATCATAATCTTAATAGGAATTAAAATATCATTACCATATGGTGCTGTCCATCATATTTGCTTTCTTAGAGCTTATCGGTTACATGGCTTGTTTACACAATTAATTGGATTTCTTCACTCTTCCTGAGATATACTAATCTCTTACACAGAGCTTGGTACTTGGCTGGTCTTTATGACGGAACAATTGGATTTGCCGGGGATGGGAACTGTAAAGCAATTTTAAAAGGGATGCCCTTGTTTTTGAGAGCCATTGCAGGGTAGGGGAAGGCAGGGAGAAAGCTGTGCAACAGCTGCTCAAATTGAGTCTCAAGCTGGCATAGACTTGTAATATCACAGTAATAGGCTGGCCTGCAAGGCATCCCATAGGTCAGGAAATTTGGCATTGGGAGCATCTGCAATTAACACTGTCACCACCCCCACCACAAAATTTCCAAGCCTGTAGACTAGGTGGCATGATCCTGCATGCAGGGACTAGGGCTGCTGGTGTGATTTGGTGCAGGGGGCTGAGGCTGGGACTAGAGATGAAGCCTGAACTGGCATGGAGGGCTGGGGCCACGTGCTGAGCCAGCCCTGCACATCGGATCGGGCCCATTGATCAGATTTGGCCAACAGACCAGCCTTGCACCACACATCTGGCCTGCAAGAATAAAAGATTGAGCACCACTGGTCTAAACCAGCTCACCTTATTTAAGTACGTGATGTGGTGGCCCATCAGATACAGCATGTATGTGCAGCTGATATGCCTTGCAGAGGAGCTGAAGGAGAGGATGGCAGGGTCTATGACTACAATCTCTTTTTTCTGTGACAACTGCATTCCTGGTATACGTCGGTTTTTGTGGGACTTGCAGCCCTACTCATTCAGTGCTGTAGGCTTTAGTTGGGAAACTGCTCTTCTAGAAAATGGGCTGAGCAGTCTGAAAATAGGAACTGTAGGAGCAACTGATGCTCATTATCTGAATTCTCATATTTAGTAGGGCCAGCAGTTTCATTTCAACACTGTTTCAACTCATTTTGAGCTCAAAACAGCAAAATCGAAATGAAACAGAGAGCTTTGAAACAGCCTCGAAACGAAACGAGGCAAGTGGAACCTTTGGAAATTTTCAAAACATTTCAAGTTTCAAAGCTCAAGCCGGACTTGCCTGCAGGGAAGCAGAAACTAAAGTAAGGAGAGGGAGGGGGAAGAGGGGGCAAGGGGGTGGAATGGACTGCTCTCATTATTGACCGTGTAACTGGCCAATGACTGTCATCCTTCCCTGAGGTCTCTTCCAATCCCAGTGCTCTGGGGGAGGGATGGAAAAACTGCATAAAAGGCAGCATTGTTTGACCTGCTCTGCTTTCTGCCTTGGTGTTAGTTGAGTGAGGGCGCACATTAACACACAGTGTCGCCCACCCATGTCAAAAGTTTTGCCTGTCAACAGCATCCAGAGGTGCAGAGCCCCAGAACCCAGAGGCCCCTGCACCTATCTCCTTGACAGCTGGCAGGCTTTGTGGCCTCAGCAGGGGTTAGCATGCCTGCAGTTTGGACCCCACTATGGCTTAAAACATACATGTGACATGAGTTGTTTTTTTTTGTTTGTTTCAAGATTTTTGAGGTGCAGTTTCCCAGAAACCCCTGCACCTATCTCCTTGAACTGTGACAGGCTTCATGCCCTCAGAAGGGGCTACCATTCCAACAAGTTTCATCCAAATCAGGCCAGAAATGACAAAGTTATAGGATATTTCGAGCTTCCCCATTATAGCCTGTGGGCGAAACGTCGAAACAGCATTGAAGCAGTGAACCGTTTCGATAAAAACGAAACGAAATAGCAGTTTCAAATAGAAATGAAATTCAAAACGAAACGCTGTTCCGTTGAAATGCAAGTCGAAACAGAACGGTGCCATTTCGCACAGCCCTAATTAGTCTTTGGGCATTTCTGCAACATGGTGTGTGCTTTGTTTTAGCATATGGTAGGAAAGATGCCAAGTCACAGTTGTGAATAGAGCTCCGCAAAATTTCGCTGGGTTTCATTTTGAAATGTTTTGAGCTCGAAACAGTGAAATCGAAATGAAACAAAAGGCTTCAAAACGGCCTCGAAACAAAACAAGGGAAGTCGAAATATTTTGAAAGTTTCAAAATGTTTTGAGTTTCGAACCTGGGCTTGCTTGCAGGGAAACAGAAACTAAGGAGAGGGAGGGGGAAGAGGAGGGAAGGACTGCTCTGATATTGACTGTGTAGCTGGTCAGTGACTGTGGTCCTTCCCTGAGGTCCTTTGCAGTCCCAGTGCTCTGGGGGAGGGATGGAAAACTAGCTGCACCTTAACACACACAGTCCCCCGCCCCCCCCCCCCCCCCCCCCCTTCACCTATCTCCTTGAAACTTGGCAGGCTTCATGCTCTCAGAAGGGGCTACCATCCCTGATGTTTTCATCCAAATCCGCCAAGAAATGACAAAGTCATAGACAGTTTCGTGCTTCCCCATTATAGCCTATGGGTGAAAAGTCGAAACAGCGAAACAGTTTGTTTCTGTCAAAACAGAAGTCGAAATGAAACACTGCCGTTGCGTGCAGCCTTAGTTGTGAACTCCTATCGGCCTGCTAACTCAGGACTGTTTCCCCCCACGTTGGTTTTGCCTGACTTCACTCGAAATTTCCCAAGTGCTGAAGTTTCTGCTGCTTCCTATTCCCCATCCTAATACAGCTCTTACTGTCAGCAGCTTTGTCCGCATATCCAACCTCAGCTTTTACTTAATATCCTTTCACTGCTTTGAGGTGGCCCTACAATAACTTCTTCCTCCTCTCAATTTATAACTTCTGTCAGTGGTTTCTCTTTTCCATTTTAACTGCTTGGATACAGTGTGATTACTTGGTTCTTTTCAACTTTCCACCTTTAATAATAGTGATAAATTTAAAAAACAATAATTTTAAAAAAATTCTCAAGCTCTCTGATCTCTTTTTTTAGTCTTCCCTGAACTCTATATTTTGCCAGTATATTTCTAGTAACAAGATATATCCCAGCGCAGTCCCAGGTGTGTTCTCAGAACCATATTAAGGGGGCGAAAATCCTACCTGTTCTGTGACTGGATATTTTTCTCTTGGTTTTTCCTTCTGTTTTTTTCCTCGTATTGTGTCTTATTATAAGCTTCATTTGTGTAGTAAGTTGCCATTTGAGCTAGAGTTGGTTTCTTACTCCCTTGGCTAGCAAGGGTTGGGAACAGAGCAGAAGATTTGGCCATATGTATACAGTACAATAGGGGTAGGTGAAGAGAGTATTTCTCCTGGGCAGCGTAATTCCCATTGGAAGAGTATTGATAGCCTCCAAAAGGAGCTCTGTTTGATTCTATACCTTCTGGAGGAAGGGTCATACCATAACGTGGTCTTTGGCTCCTCATCACATCTGTCCTCCAGAGCAAATTTATGGGAGTAGAGCGGGTGTTGGAATGGAACCCGTGTCAAGATGGTATCAAATTTAAGGCTGGTTTTCTATGTGGACAGTACCTCTCTTCACACACCAAGAGACTTTGATTGGGAGACTTAAGCTTGCATAATGTAAATGCATAGAAGATGCCTATGTTTCTAGGTAACACTAGTAAGGAGGGAGGGGGTGAGAAGGTCCTCAGCCTGTCCTGCCAGCGGGGTAAGAAGTAATGGTGGAATGGTGACCATTTTAGTAGGCAACTTACTGGATGATGTACGTGGGAAGAAAGACTAAAAAAGAAATTGGAAGTGGGAAGTTTGTGTTGGAATTAGCTGAATTAGTTTGGTTATTTAATTTTAAAACTTGGATCCATTTGAATTTCTGTACTGTTAGAGGGGAGAATCTGTCCATCATTTTTATTGACGTTTCTTTTCCCCCTTCCCCTCTCCCTCATAATGGCATGCTTACATTCTTGTAAAATCCTAAATTTTTGTAAAAACTATAAATTCAGAACAGACTCTTCATCTATAAAAACAGACTTTATCAAGATAATCTGAAATAACATATATCTTGCATGCTTTGGAAATCCTACAGACCGCAGAGAAACTTTTTACCTAATACAGTATTACACCCTAAAAACAACACCATCTTGCCAGACCACAAAACATCCGCAATTTGGGACAACAGATGTTGCTACACATGCTTCTTTTTAAGAGCAAGAAGCAGCACACAGAAAAATAAAACGGAAAAAGAGGCATAATATTGTAGAGCTACGGTAGACTTGCATGGACCAGGAAGTTTGAGCTGTTTGGTTTAAGGATGCGTGTGAGCTATGGGAAGAGTGCGTGCGTGTGTGTGTAAATAACTTCATTTGTTCTAGTCCACTTTTTACCTTCACTTAATGAAAAAAATCTTTTGACCTTCTGTTAGTGGAATTTAGTCCATAAAAGCAAGAATTAGTTTGAAGTCTGTCAAACCATTTCAAATATTCCTTGAAATATACATTTTTAAAATTTTTTTTTTAATCGAGTGCAATTCGACTCTCTGTTGCATCAGCTTTTTGTGCTTTTAAGGTCTAACTGTGTTTTTTTTCTATTCTTTTACTTTAGCTGATCCCACAGTTAAGGACTTAATTGGAGGCTTCACTGCTCTGCATTATGCAGCCATGCATGGCCGAGCAAGGATTGCACGCTTGATGCTGGAATCTGAGTATAGAAGTGACATTATCAATGCAAAAAGCAATGATGGTTGGACTCCCCTCCACGTAGCAGCCCACTATGGCAGAGACTCATTTGTCAGACTCCTGCTGGAGTTCAAGGCGGAGGTTGATCCACTCAGTGATAAAGGTACTACACCGCTTCAACTGGCCATTATTCGTGAGAGGTCAAGCTGCGTGAAAATCCTTCTGGATCACAATGCCAACATCGACATTCAGAACGGTTTCCTGTTACGATACGCTGTGATCAAAAGCAATCACTCTTATTGCCGAATGTTCCTTCAGAGAGGGGCGGATACAAACTTGGGTCGTTTAGAAGATGGACAGACACCATTACACTTGTCTGCTCTTAGAGATGATGTGCTTTGCGCGCAAATGTTATATAATTATGGAGCAGACACTAATACAAGGAACTATGAAGGACAGACCCCACTGGCTGTTTCAATAAGTATTTCTGGAAGTAGCCGACCCTGTCTGGATTTCTTACAAGAAGTGACAAGTATGTAAGAAAATTTAATCAAAAGATGCATTGTCCTTTGATATCATTGGGTTTAGCCTTAGGAAAATATTAGAGTAGCACCTCACTCCTAGTTAAATGCACGAAAAGGTCACTGGGGGTGAGGGTTGGGTGTCTTATTTGACAAAAATAGTGAACTCTAAGGATGTCCCATTAAAGCAAGCTTTGTTTAAATATATAACATATTGCAAGCCTTCATAAAAAAAAATAAAAAAATAATAGCTTTACTAGGACTGGCCTTGCACATAAGCAAAGCTTAGATTCTTAGGCTTGATTGATTGATTTGGTGTCCTGAAGAGATTCAAAAGTTAGCTGGCGTTATGCCCAGAGCAGAAGAAAACTTTTTTCCTTGATTGATCTTCTTCCAACCTGCCCCCATGATGGGGAAAGCAAGGAGTATCTTGCATTTTCCAGCCTTCCCTACCTTCTGCAACTTGTGTACATTCACAGATGGTAGCACTAGTTCTGGTTATTTTGTTAGCACTCTTGAGAGGAGAGAGAAGTTCTTATAATGTATTCACTTCTGAAGTTTAAATTGTCTTGAGTACATGGGACATGGCATATTTTATAGAGTACCTGTTGTGATTTGTTGGAACAGCTGTCTTGCTGAAGTACTTATCTCATTCCGAAAACTTTTAACCTATGACTACAGCCTGCAAAGTGTTAGATGTTATTAGGAGAACAGTGATATTAAGAATATTCTTAATGATTCTAACAGGGCTTGATTATTCCTTGCCCAGCCAGGATAGTGTTTCAACGAGAGAGCTTCTAACTGAAAAGTATTATAGGACTTTTAAAAAGCCCAAACATAATTCTCTTGCTTCTGCATTTTGTGTTTTCAAACCATAAAGGTTCAGCACCATATACAATATAGGCATTAGAGAAACTGAAACTTCATTGACAAAAATCAGATGTTAACTGTAAATTGTTGACAGTGAAGCATTTGGAACTGGAACTGGCTATGACTTCAGGTTTTCACCTTTCAGTGTTCACTAAAGGCATTCATAAACATCTGAAATCTAGAGATACAGTATTTGGACAGGTGGAAGTCAGTAACAAGAAATGCAAGCAAAAATAACTGTTTTTAATTTCACTGAATAACTTTATCCAGAACTGGATTGTCCCTTTTCCTGACTTCTTAGAAGACGCTCATCATTTTAACAGTACTGTTAAGGTTTTTTATGGATGATATAATATCCAAGTTTCCATAGGCTTAGTAGAACTTAACTGTACACAGGAAGTAGTTTTCAAGCTTCCAAAACTTGTTTCTAATATCTAAAGTTTCCCCTCCCACCAAAAAAGAAAAATCCTGAAAACTTAAATAGGAACTCCTTTGTAGGAAGTTCCTAGAAAGAATGAAAAATTATTCCACAGCGTTCAAATCTCCTGAAACTTGAAGTGGTATCCTGTAGCTTTAATTAGTAGAAGTCTTTAAAATGTGCAAAATACAAATGTTCAGCACACCAAAACTTTCCGATTCTCTTCTCTTTAGGGGATGCTCGTGCATTTGAGTTTACAAAAATAGCATTAATGTACTGCTAGACAGCTTTAAATCACTTGAGAATGTTCAGCAAATCTTCTCTCTTTTTCCAAAGCACGGCTGGAAACTTTGTCCTGAAGGACTAAGCAGCCTACTTTAAAAACAATCCAAATAGCAACACATTCTCATTGACCTGTCGAATGCAAGGCATGTAGGAATTACTGGTACCACCAGTAGTACTCTAGTGATGGGGATGAATATGAAGAGACTGAATCTGATTGTAAAGCAGGGAGGGAGGTGGGGGAGGGTCTTTTTTTTAAATTTTTGGCTTCTAGATTGTTTAGTAAATCCATAAATGATTTTGATATGCCTGCCCAGAAGCAGATGAAGATCCTTATGATCCTTATTTGATTATCCACATGTCAAAGCTGTCTCACATTTCAGTGATGACCTTTGGGTAACTAAAGGAATTACGGCACTTTATACTATAGAAAAATAGTGGAGTTATGGAGGAGAAAGTAGCATCAATTACAAGATCTTTAGCTACTTAGTCCCTCTTGTGTTAGGCAAAGGGAACCATGGTAGGATTAAATTGACTACAAGTTGAAGGCTGGGTTTGAAAGATCAGTTTTGCTGGTCATTTCCTGATTCTTTTCTTGGCAACATAACCTCACCAGCACTATAGAGCTCATGTATGCTCTCCAAGGGCTAACAAGCTTGCCACCATCGTCAAGCTGGATGGAGCCCCTAAGCTTGCATCTGTACTGATGCTTGTGATTGGATGACTCCCACTCAAATTGTGTCCATTTATTTTGAGTCTAAGAAAGGAGTCGGTTTTGATTTAATAGGAGCTGTCCTATATCATGTCAAAATCCTTAGCTGAACGCTGAGTAAATAGTTGCTCTCCATGGTAACTGATTGCTCTGGATGATTTGAGCATCTATTTGGTAATTCATCTGGGTCAGTTTAAGAATTTGTGGTCACCATGACAGCCATGGTGGCCAGCCTTGCCACAATAGACACTGTTAGCAATAATCTGGAACCTTTTTGGTTTAGCATTTTGGATGATAGACCCCTTCCAGAGGCCACCATTTCCTTTGTTTTGAGGTCAGGGTGCGCATTAGGGCTGTGAGAAACTTCGGCAGCCTTTTCATTTTTGGAGGTGATTCGGCACCCAAAACACCAAATCTGAAACTAAATGGAAGGCTCCAAAACATCTCCGAAACGAAATCATCCAAAACGTTTCGGAAAACTTCAGAGTTTTGGAGCTGGGCTTGCAGGGAAACAGAAACTAAGAAGGGTGGGGGGAGGACTGCTCTGATATTGAGATCTGTAGCTGGCCAGTGTCTGTGATCTGTCCCTGAGGTCCCTCCAATCCCAGCAATCTGGGGGAGGGACGGCAGCCTGCTGTCATCCTGCATGCAGATCTGGGGCACCACGTGCCCTGAGAGGAGTCTGACAGCCCCGCAGCCCTCCTGGGTGGCGCAGACCCCCAGATCTGTGTACAGGATGACAGCATGCTGCCGCTGCCGATAAGTGATACGAATTTTGCTTTGAACAGTTTGAGGTGCAGTTTCACAGAAACCCCTACACCTATCTCCTTGAAACCTGGCAGGCTTCATGCCCTCAGAAGGAGCTACCATCCCTGCAATTGTCATCCGAATCATGCAAGAAATTACAGTTAGAGGCATTTTAGTGGTTCTACATTATAGCTTATGGCCGAATCACCAAAACAGCATTGAAACTTCAAAAAAGATTCAGCCGAATCGAAACAGAACAGTGATCCAAAACACTGAAACAAATCACTGTCCCTCCGAAATGGCTGAATCTGAAACCGAATCGAAACACAGCCGTTTTGCACAGCCCTAGTGCACATCTGTCATTGAGGCTTTTTTTGTTTTGTGTGGTGCTTTGGCCTCATGACTATGAGCAATATAAATGTTATCGTAAAGGCTATTGTAGTGGGACAATAGTGATCTGACATTACTTATCAGTATGGACCTCCCAGGTACCCTTTCTCTGTTGTGTTTTCATGGTCTACATATTTCATCTGTCCTAGAATTTTGATGGTAGATGTTCCCAGGTAGGTCACCTATCTTGCCAATCGCCTGCTGATAATGATTTCTAGTGATGCCCATGCCTGAAATGTCATCATGCTCAGCAGCAGAGTAGCTCAGTCTTGATTTTCTTTTTTTTAAAGGCCTGGGAAGGTGTTTTGTTTTGATGTTAATCCAGCATGCTTAATGAATATCTTTATTGATGTATTTTGTATGCATACCCAGAGGTCAGGAGGAATGTCTTAAATCAGGCATAATGGTCTCTGTTTAAATATCAGATTTACTACTAGAAGCCAAAGTTTTATAATTATGTGAATTAATTTGCAAAGGGCATCAAGCCAATATTTTAAAACGTGCTTTCAAAGGCAAGGACTGCACACTTCAGACAAGACAAGTACCATCTGTTTTTCAGTCTAGGCACAAGCCAGTGTACTTAATTGAGGACACAGTGTATTTCCTTCTCTATTGGCTTTTGAGGGATTGATAAAAGTGAGCTTTTATCTGAACCAGGGATCAGAACACTGTGCAAATTGATAAAGATCTCAGCCATAATACAGGGAGCCTGCAGTGCCCTAAAACAGAGAGTAGGCAAGGGGCCAAGCCCTTTAATACACGCTCATTCTTAGAACTGAATGTCTTTAAAAAGATCTGGTTTGGGGTTGGTTTTTGGGTGGTTGCTTGGCTGATTTGGGTTTTTCTGGACCTGAGGAAATGTCTTTTGTATACCTCCCAGGCAGAAATAACAGTCACACGCACTTTTAAAGGAATCCCAAAAGGAGTGGAAGTTAGATTCTTCCAGCTTCTCAAACACTTGAAGACAGAGATGGAAATTGGGAGCAATTAAATTGTAATCCCCGACTCTAATGCTAACTCAGCCCTCAGCAAATGACTCTAATCTTTGTGTCTTATTATTTTTTTACCCCCCATGTAAAAATAGATAATACTTGCCTATTTCAAGGTGAAAAGTGCTGTAAGAGTTCTATCTTTACTCTTCACTGGGTGAACATCCTTATAGCTGATCTCAATGGATGAGAGAGCTCCTTTTTGGAGCCAGTAGGCCTCTCGCCTTAATTGTCCTGAGACTCTAAATGAAGAGTTGCTTACTCATGTGCTGGCAGAAATTTAGGATTGCGAGATCATTACCAGCCCCTGCATAATATTCTGGAGCGTTTAGTGGGGTTGAGTTTGAATCCATTAAAAACAGAATGAAAAATGCATCTTGCATATGGCACGAATAATATTTATCTACATGTATAATTACCATCCCAGAAGAAAACATTTTTTTTGAAATTTTAGGTCATGTTGAGAAAGTATTGGTAACTGAAGAAAAAGCATGCAAGAGAACACTGTTACTCTACTTAATGGAAGCAAATTCTTCAATTCAGCACTACCTTCAATTAAAAACACCCTGCCCTGCTGCCCCCTCTCCTGTCGTTCCCCCCCCC